TATCTATAGATGAAAGATATCAAATATATAATATTATTAATTAGTTTAAAGCAATTATTGATTTGTTAGAAGAAAATGATATTTTTTATATCCCTTAGATTGTTTAGCATACAAATTTGTCTGCTTTTATATCTAATTTTAAATAAAACTTTAAATATTAATTTTAAAAATATACACTCTAAGTAAAATATATTTTTTATTTTTATTTTATTAACTTTGTTAAGAAAGTTTTTAAAATTACTATAAAAGTTTTGAGTAATAAATCTTTAAAGTTTTATTTTAAAAATTTTTACTATAAAATTTTTGTCAAATTTTTTTAAAATTTATATGTAAATGAAGCAAAAAATAATTTTTATTACTAATACAAGTCAAAATTTTTACAAGAAAATTACAAAAGTTGTAATAATTAAAGTTGTAATCTTTTAAAAGTTTTATCAAATTGCTTAATAAATTATATTTTAAAAACTTAAATTAAACAAGTTTGCCTTAAAATACTGATAAAATTTTTACAAAAAATTTTTTTATAAAATTAGCTATTTTCAGCTCATATATAACTCTAAATTTTTTTCTTATAATATAAAAACAAATACTGCAAAAAGATAATCCTTATTTTCAAATTTTATTATCTATAATTATTTTTTTAATATTTTTGCATTTTAAAAAAAGTAAATCAGAGCTGAATAAATACAAAAATGCAGGCAAATTTGCTTGCTTCAGTCTACAATCTAAGGAATAGGGTTTCTAAATAAATAAATTATTATATTCTTTCATAAATTCCAAAAATATTTGTTTATTTTGAGGTTCTAATTTACCTATATTATATTTTTTCTTATCTAGCTTCTTTAGTTCATTCTTAGACTTTAGTTCAGGTTCATTATAGTATAGCTTAGTATTGAATTTGATATAGACTTGTTTATAGATTTCCTGCTCAATTTTTATAGCTTCCTCCTCAGCATAGCAAAATAGGCTTTTACTGAAATCAAAGTTCTCTTCATATTCTTTCTTATTATCCAATTCCACTATTTTATTTTCTACTATTGGTTTATTCTTTTGTATTTTAGAGACTTTAATGCTAACTTCATAGTAAAGGAGTTGTTGTGATTTAATTTTAATAGTGATTACTTTGTTATTCCAGTAGATAGTCATAGTGTTATCCTTGTAATTTATATTTGCCTTTGTCTTCTTTAGCTAGTCATTTCTTACAATAGTACTATAGAAATTAGACTTAGTAATTATAGCATCAAAAGGGATTATTTGACTATCTATTTCTAAGAGGATATCAGAGACTGCTTCTAGAGGTTGATGTCATTCACTATTTACATTAATCATGACTGTTCTAGAAGCTTAGACTATTTCTATATCCAAGTTCTTTAATAAATTTAGAGATATTATATTTCTAGCTGATTCAAAATCAATGATGAGAGGAAATTTAATATGTTTAATAGTAGTATCACAGTACAAATAAGTAGACTTTTTCTTTATTGCTTTGTTTAGATTTATATCAATTAAACTTCTACTAGGTTGTTTATTATCATGTTCTATAAATTCAAGATCACTATCATTGAGAGTTGAGACAGTTAGCTGTTTAGTTGCTTTTTTATTATTTTTATTATTAGAAAGATCTTTAGTATCCTTTTTATTAGTACTTTTAGATGCAGATACTTTTTTAGTTATAGGCTTTCTAAGCTTTTCAGTGATAGCTCTACTAAATTTAGAGTTTATTGCTAATTATTGTCTATTAGTTATATTTGCAAGTTGGTCAAAGAATTGTTGTAAGATATAAGGTATAATTATTTGGTTTACAGATAGTATAGCTACTGGTTTTGTTTTTATTGCTTTTTCTTTTTGTTTAATATCCTTGATTGTTTTTTTTTTATTTGGATCATTAGTTTATTCACTTTGATCAACTTGTTGCCTTTTTGCAGGATATATTTCTAAAGTCATTATATTAGAAGGAATTGTAAATTAGGCTATATACTCACCCTCATGAGGTATACTTCCTAGTTTAAATGTTGTTGCTATTGTTGTTATTATTAAGCTTGTTGCTATAGTTGAACTTGAGATTGTTTCTGAGTTTGCTGTATTAGATAGTAAAGTTAGACTTGCTGCTATTATTGATTAACAGGTGGTACTTGTGTCTAAGGTTGAATTATAGGTTAAGGTTAAAATTGTTGTACTAGATTATTAGATACAAGTTGGGTAAGAAGTTGCAAGAGCTAATTAACTTGTGGAGCTTGTTTAGGTTGAGCAGATTGCTGATTATTTAGTACAGGATTTATAGGATTTACAGAGTTTATAGAGTTAGTAACAGAAGATATAATATTTTGATAGTTTATATTTTGAACTTGAGAGTAAGTCTTACAAATATGTCTAGATTGTCCATATTGATAGCAAACAAAATTATTTGGTCTTTAAAGTTGAGGTTCGAGTTAGTAAAGTTGAGGTTAATTAGCTTAAGGTTGTTAATAGTTATTATAATTCCTAGGATTATATCAAGATTCAGTATTCATTTGTTGTAGCTATTAGGTTAAGACTTAGAGACTTTAGGCATGTTGATTCATTTGATTATTTAGTTGAACAGGTATCATATATTTATTGAGATAAAAAGTTACAGTATTAGTGTTCTGATATGTTAGTTCATAATTTTTAGTACAGTTAACAGTATTATTTCAGTTAATATCATTATAAGGTTTGATATTAACATATAATTTAGATAAGAGTCTATTCACAAATTTGCGAGCTTTGAAGTAAACAGAAAATTAGAAAAGTTTATATTCTACTCTCCTATACAATTCTAAAAGAGTAGCAGTATAGTTATTAACAGATTTACCAAGGCATTGTTAGTGACATTCAAATTTAGTAGTCTAAATTTTAACTAGAGTTTAAGAATGAAAGGTAGCAAGGAAGTTAATGATGAAGTTAGTATTGTGAGCTAGATTATCATCATCATATTGTTCGATTCTATTAGAGTTATTAATAGCCAAAGCTTGGTTTTCAGTTCATAAGTAGCAGTAGCTCTTTTAAGATATACAGATGCAACTTGGAGCTTAATAGTATCAGTAATTCTGTTAGCATTGCAGGCTTTGTTAAATTCAGTGAGCCAAGTTATGAAGTCCTGATTTCTACTATAAAAGTAAGGTAAATTAATCACTTGAGCTTCTTTTCTAGAAGGATTATTGATAGTATTAGTATTGTTAGTTAAGGCAGTAGTAGTATTAAACAGAGCTGCTATTAATTAGATAAGAGTATCAGTAAGTTCTTAAAAGTTTTGTTAATCAGATTGAGTTATATTTCCTTGTTACAGTTAATTAGAGAGTAATTGTTGTAGTTCTAGTTGATTAAAGAATAATTCTAAACCAAAATCTTCTTTTTCATTAGATAAATTTGATTGTGCAGTTTGATATTCAGCTATTTGAGAGTTAGTAGTTTTATTTATATTATAGATAATATCAAAGAGATTGTTATTAAAACTGTTTGTTAAGGTAAGAATAGAATATATTTTCTGTTAGGCTTAATCATAAGATAGTATTTTTTGAAATAACAGATACTTAGAAGGAGATGAGTAATGAGAGTTCAGATATTTAGAGTATTTAGATTATTAGTAAGAGCTTAAAAGTAGTTCTGAATATGTGATATATAGTGTAGAATAGGATATTCAACAGAAAACCAGATCCAAAAGCTTTCAAATTGAATATAATTACCAAGATTTGTTGGAGCTTTAGAAGGATAATAAAGATAATAAGAAATATCAGTATATATTTCAGATATAATATTTAAGTTCTAGGTATGTAGGTGATCATGTTTTTGAGTTACAAGAATATGAGTTAAAAAAGTGTTTATTTAATTATCCAATATTTTAACAATTTGATTCTACCAGAAGGCACTAATTATTATAAGTAGTTTTTTATTAATCTGCAAATTTTTAGATAGCAGAAGGTTTTTCACAGTTATTATTTAAGACACTAGTTTATTTATTAGTAAACAAACAAAACCAAAATCAATAAAATCAAAAATAAAATAAAATAAAATATTATTTCTAATAACAAAAACTAAAAAAACTAAAAATAATAAAGAAAAATTAAATCACAACAACTCCTTTACTATGAAGTTAGCATTCAAGTATCTGATACTATATTATATGCTCTTAAAAATCGTACTTATTTACTTTAATTAGAGTTAAATTCAAAACTAAATGAAATAGAAGACTTTAAAAAATAATTAAAATATGTGTATGATTATATAATAGAGAATTAAGAGTATATTCAAGAAAAAAATAAAATAAATAAAAAACTAACTGAACAAAATAATGCATTAAAATATGAACAGGAAAATCAATATAATAGTCAAAAAAAAAGAATTGATTCTATTATTCAAATTTTAAATCAAAAATGTCAAAGTATTTATAATAATATCAAGTCATTAATTTTGAATAAACAATAATTTTTTCTTAATAATTTATTAAATTTTGTTCCTGATAATTGATTAGCTAATCACAACTCAGTAATTGTTAATTTTATTTATACTCTCATGTGTAATGATAATAATAACTGTAATAATAATACATAAAATAAAAAAAATTTAAAAAAATAGTTGCTATAGACGCTATATATAGATCAAGATATAATAACTATGTTTCATAAATAAACCTAGCTATAACAGGAATCAAATATTCACTAGCATGATCTAAAACAATTATCAATATTGATAACTATATAATTAGTTCTAGAAGTTATATGAAATTCATTAATTAGTTAGAATTATTAATAGTTAAAAATGAACTCTTACCTAAAGAATTTTTGTTTTTAGTTTTTGACAATAAGCAATGTAGTTAATTTAACTATCTTAATTGTAAGTACAATACAGTTATCTATCATATAGTTACAAGTTTTATTACACTGAATATGAGTAAAAATAATTATGTTCAATTTACAATTATACTATAGACTTGTAATTTAATACCTGATAACTAGTATGAAAAATTATATTATGTTTTACCTGAAATGCAAGTGGAACATGATCTAGAATTAAAAATATACTTATTGTCAATTTTAAAAGAGCTTGTTATTGAAAAAAACAAAAAAATCAATACTATTAATGCAGTTATGAAAAATCAAAAAGGTATAAGAGGTCAATTGAAATAATGCAAAAAATGCAATACAACTAATATTGACAATAAAAGATATAACTGTTCTCAGTGTAATAAAAAATTAGATATGTTAGCTGCTTTACAAGTAGAGTTTGCTAATAAAATTAATTAAACTAATAATCTAACTTAATTAAAACTTTTTGTAATAAAGTCTTACATATACGCTTAAGAGCAAAAAAGTCTATAATTTGATTATATTAGTATTACACAATCAAACTCTGAGCATGATATTATTGTTCCTAAAATATATATGCTAGATCTATTAGAATTTAATCCTAATTTAATCATTAATATTAGAAAAGTTTTAGAGTATGTATAAAATATCATAGAAATAAATAAAGTACAAAAATGATTATCTGCTACTTGTGATAGTATTTCTTATACTCTAGCTCAAAAAATTAAAAAGACTTCCTGTAGCTTATATTGATTCTTGAAGCTTTGTATGAAGAAATGAATATGTTCAAGATATTTATAAAATTAAACTAGTATTAATTTTTTTCATTAAGTTAATTCAAAAAATACCATTTGTCCTAAAATTTTAACTTACTCTTTTTAAGGATAATTAATATAAAACAATTTGCTATTCTCCAAGAATACAGAACTAAAAACTAACTTAGTTTTTTTAAAAATATACTGATTATCACAAATTATAAAACTCTATTTGCAATATTTACTAGTATGCTATTATATATGAATTACTATAGCTATATGTAACTACAATAGTGAATTTCTTAGCTAATGACTATTTAGATTAGGCCAAAAAGCAAAATAACTATACATATCAATTAAAATTTGAACAAGTAAGATTTTTTTGAGATTTTATAAAATTTTAAATATATCTAAAAAATTTTACTATTAATTATTAAATATTTATCTACTTGTAAACAATAATTAATTTTTGCATAATGATTATTTGAACCAACTTTCCAAAAAACTGAACTATAGAAAAATGATATAGTTAATATATTAACCTTCAAAAAAAACCTTTCTGGAGTACTGTACTCGCATAGTTAGATATTGAAATAGAGTTGAAAAAGAAGTTACAGCTTTGTAAGCTAGTTTAAAGCACTCTAGGACTATAGAAGAGGTAGTCACGAAAGCAAAGTTTTTTTTTTGAATAAACAACAAAGTTGGATATATTAGTTCTATACAACTATAAAATTTACAAGAAACAACTGCAAAGGTTCAAAGACTCACAAAAGCTACAAAGTTGGTTCACCTCTCGCCTTTACTTTTTTTTGAAGATTTTGTAAAAAGTGAGCATTTCAGTTTACTCCCTCCTAAAGATTGACATATAAAATCATCAAAATAGTCAGCAGTGTTTACTTCCTAAATGGGTTTGTTGATGACTTAGTGCAGAAATAAAATAGTAATACAAACATGACTATACACATGCCTTGAAGATACTAGAACTCCAAAATACTGCTTCCGAACTAACTAATGTCTATACCGACTCTCTACAATCAAGTCGAAGTTTTTCTTTCCTATATAGTTTTTTGATAAATATTCTATTAAATAAGAAAATTGTAGAGTAATTCTTATTTAGTATAGTCTATAATTTTTAAGGCCTATCACAGACTTAAAATGTGATTGTCTGATATTTGTGAAATGCAAATTTCACGTTTTCTTTTTCTCTTCTTATCCTTTCTTTCCTTTATTTTTTGATTTGTTTTTTTTTATCGTCTACTCTTATACCTCTTTTTTTACGCTCTTAAAAATTTTTTTTTGTTTTTTACTTCCCTACAAGAAGATATTATCGGTTTGACAATATCCTATTGTAGGGCAGCAGTCAGACAAGATGGTCTATCTCTGATGTAGATAGTGTAGCAGGTCGCACTTAGGCCCTATATGGGAATTGAGTGATGCTAAACTTAGGAAATTAGTTAAATTCTTCATAATATGTATAGTGTTAAGAAGTCTAATAAAGTATTAGTGTGACTACTAAAAGAAAAAAAAAATTTAATTTTTGCACAGAAGTTAGAAATAATTAACTATTATTAATAAATACTATTTGATGTATGTTTGCTCTAATATGATCTGGCTATAGACATCCTATATATTGTTTAATTGAAATAATCTATGAAGAGCAATTGATAGATTAGATCCTGAGATTAAACAGTGAATAGAATCATATTCAGTTATTTCATAGTTAGAATATCACAATTAGCATCAAGGTCTTGATACCATTTTTGAAGAAGTCAATAAATCTTTAAAAGCCTTAATTCTATCTCTGCTTTTACAAAAATACTAGAGAACAGCAGTACATAATTGTACTAAGTTCATAAAGGTTAATACTGTAATAAAACATATTTATATTTAAAATATATATACTTATACTTCTATATTTTTAAAAATATTAGCTGCATCACATATTATTTAATATAATTAAGCATGCGGATAATGAGTTATTAGGACATCAGATATGTTTAGATTTTATGTTAGAATTACAACTATTTCGAATTCATTTGCATAAAACTAGATTTTTAAATCTACAAGATAACAATTGTATTTTTAAAAGTCTTGGAAAGAAACATCTACTTAGTAAATAATTGAAAAATTTTAGCAATTTGGCATATAAAAAACAAATAATATTTATTGATAAGACTTTTAAAAATAATAAATCAAATTCTTTACTTTGACTAATATCTATTACTGCTGAAAAAGAAGCAGCAGCTTTAAATAAAGAAAATATGTCAAAAAAAGAGCTTATGGTAATTATTAATTTATTGCTTAATTCTATCAACCTTTTTGATCATCTGAAGTATCATAGTTTGCAACAAAAATCTCGTAGCAAATTGTAAGAAATTTTACAAAGTATTAGAGATTTATACAAAAATTAAAATGAACTTAAAAATAAAATAGAGCTAGAAAATTAAATAAATAAATGTTAGTTTAATAAATTAAGATTATATTACTACAGAACTATACTTTTAGCAGATTAAAACTCAAATGGGTTTATTCATAGCAAAACCATGTTTAGAGTATATATAAAATATATATTCTAAGTATAGTTTTACTGTGAATAAATTCAAATAATTTACTTCATGTTCTCTGTTCTAAAATTATTTGATAGCATTTTTATAAAATTATTTTTATTCATGAAGTTTCTACATTCTGATGTTTTTAAATTTTTTTTTTTTTTTTTTTTTTTTTTTATCCTATAATATTATAATATTACCTAATTCTTAATATGCGTAAAAAGCTAAAATATATCCTATTCTAAAATCTAAATAAAATATATTATCAAACAGGGAATTCACCTTTTCTAGAGTTCCTAGAGACTGCTGATTATAGTATGAAGACTATAACTTTACAGCTTGTTATATGGTATCTAGAATTAAGACTTAACAAAG